GTTCAGCATTATTTCTTCGCGGTCTCTGGCCAGACATAACAGGCCAAATCGCAGATGTACACATCCGCACTGATGCGAATAATCTTGTCACAACAGCATCCACAACACATCAACCGGAACAGAAAGAAACAATGCATTTGATCCAAATGTTGAGAAAAGAAAGCAACAGCGGACAGATGCGTGACCTTGCACATGTACGATTGTGTGGCAGATTCGCTGACCAGGCATTCAGCTAAAGCAGACGAGCTCATCAAGGCCGTCCTCACCGGCAATCTCTTGAATGTTGATGCACATCCACCTTTCCGTGCTATGTTGCAGAACAAGGCATTTTTTGTTGAGTGGCTAGCACACAATACGAAGCACGGACCCGACATCATTGCCTTTGCAGGAGTCGGTATAGCAGAATCCATGATTGCTTATTGGGGAACCTGGGCATGATCCGCATGTCCACGAATTCTGATGCATGAGTTTTTCTTTTTGCACAATTTCAATTCCTCAAATCCGTGATGCGTGCTTTTGCACTTGACCCATTTTGAATCTCAAGAAAGATGTGTCTGCGTCCGCAGCCACTTGGTTTACAACCATTCCGACCTTTGCAATCGTGTATGCTTGATCACCTCGAAGACATGCCGATTCTCAATATGATCTTTGGACGATCCGGCACTGCGGCTCCTTCGCCGAAGCCGCTAGTGAAGAGACGTGCATCTCCTTTGAAGGAATCCCCTGCTCGCGACGAGGAAGATGAGACATCCGACTGCCCCATGGAGCAGGTCGCCGATGAGAATCCATCCGCCTCTCAACAACCAGATAATGTCAACATGGAGCAGGCAGATTACGATCGAGATACCGACAACGATGATGATCCGGATGAAGAAGAGCAGCCTCCCGCAGGAAATCCGAAGCCGAAGGCGATGCCACATCCGAAACTGGTTCCGAAGTCACCACCACCGACATTGAGGCTTGTGTCAAAGGCTAAGCCAGCACCAAAGAATACATTGGATGAGGAGACAGAATCCGACAACAATCCTGGTGAACGACCTGCACTTCCAAGGCGACCAGCGATGCAGACAACTCTCACATCCAACGATCGGTGGTATACATCCGAAGAATCAGATACCGGCATCTACCTCCAGAGGATATTATCCGTACATCCAGGACCTTTCTGGAATTCTCGATTCCTCACCTTCGTGGCCGAATGCTACAGGGAGTGCTCTACCATCCTCGACTCGTATCCGGACTTCCACTTCATTCCTGAGCATGAACAAGAACCTGGAGCCAGGGTATTCTGGTTGAGAGCCAGATTCAATGATTACTGGCAGCCAACACTCCAAGGTGAAGGCCAACATGCAGAGAGACAATACATGGACTTCATCAAGACGGTCTACAGTATCTGCTGCTATACCAATGCTCAGCTGGAAGATTTCGGAACCGACATCATCCCGATGGTATGCCACAACCGCATGATTGATTTTGACAGGACCGTCCAGAATGTTGAGCAGGTTTGCAGCTATTTCCACATGGATCCATCCAAGGCAAAACGGATGTTCCAAGGAATCGATGGATCGACAACCTCACATCCAGATCCGCATATGATGCACTCAGGCCTGATGGCAGAGGATTCCTCAATGATTCAGAGATGGAATTCTACGTGAGATGCAACAGCGGTCATACTCGACAAGTTGATCTCCAATACTTTGGACCCCCCCTTTGGCCTGGACAGAAGCGTGAACCTCGTCAAGAAGAACCGGACTACGATCTTCCAACAGAATCCATTCCTCCAAGTCCGCATCCTTCAAGATCCGACGCGCCCCAAAATCCAGAATGCGAAGGCCGGCACCACCATGCATTGAAGAAGAGAGAAAGATCAAGCCGTTCGCGAAGAAGCCCATCACGTTCATGTTCCATGCAACATATGGAGATCAGCTGATCAGCATTATGGAGATCAGCTGATCAGCATCATGCACATCCACATGGCATGCATCGACGACGTTATCCTCGACGACGACGCGCCAGAAGCAGCATTGACACATGTGCCAACAGGAAGAGCTGCATTGTTGATCCTTGCAATCCTCAAGGACCAGGACTACGGCGAACAGATTTGACAGGACAAACCATCGAGGCGAAGAATATTGTTGCAGCATTTGATCCTGATGGGAACATCATGATGAGCAACAACTGGATCATGAAGAAGTCTCTCACTCGTGAAGACGTTGAGATGTACGACACCAAGATCCATGAATTCGCCGATGCCTTCTTCAACTATGTGAATACCGACCAACAAAGCAAGGAAAAATCCGAAAAAGATACATCCACACAAGCCAAGAAGCGACGGCGCTCCAGCGATCAGGGCGAAAATGATGAGGAGAACATGGAACCCTCCGGGGAGAGACCCGTCAAGCCGAAGGTCACCATGGAGTACCACAATCCCGAGAACCTAGAAGAGTTCATCAAGGAATGCAAGGTGACACACCTTGAAATGGACATGACCAAGAAGGACGCCGAGGAAGAGCTCAAGGAGACCAAAAGGAACTTCACCCGCTTCATGGAGAAGTACGACAGGGATCCACAGAGAGCTCATCCCGAATTGACAGAATGCGAGCGAGCTTCATTGGCACATGTTGACCCAGATGTCAACCTCGAGGAAGAAGAATTCTATTTCCACCACCGAGGAGAATGGCCATCCATGGAAGAGTTCAGGAAGGCACGGCCAGCATCAGGATATCCGATCAAGCTTCCATTTGGATTGAAGAAGCTCAGGACATATGACAAACCAGAGGTCATCCAAACATTTGCTGACATCCTGGGATCGCTGATGCAACCAACTGACCATACTCCTGTGGACCATCTCAAGGCACATGAGTTCACCTCATCCATGACGATCAACATGCTCACCATGAACCACGGAAACCTTACGAGGAATCCAAAGCTGGACAACAAGGAGGTGAATAACATGGCGATGAAGGATCGACCAATCACGAGGATGATGATGCAGAACAGCGCGCGCACCATATGCCTAAATGAAGCAGACGCATTCCTCAGCCCTCAAGATGAGAAATCCAAGGACCTCATCAAGACGTTCGTCCGGTTTGGATACAAGGGCATAGTTATCAAGCAATGGGCATCCAAACCAATCGCATGCTTTGTCCGCGGCGGACCTTCCGCAAGAGTGGAACTATTGGCACGACACATTTCCACAAAGAGTCAAAACTGGGGAACTATTCGGTATGTTCAGATGCTTCTTCGGAACCGAGAACCATGAATGCATTGCACTGATGCCGAATACGACATCCCGACCTATGACTGCCTGGCAACCACAGGAACATCCATGTTCAGGGAGTCCAAGAAATACAGTGGACCGAGGTTGCCGCCACAGACTTGTCCAAGGACATGGGCGCAACAAGGGAATTGTCGTCATCCACATCGAGCAAAGTGATGAATTTCGTGGCGTGTTTCCAAAGTCATCCAATGATTCACTCCTCGAATTCGACAGCCGCCATGTGACGAGGGCAGACCTCCCATATGCTACCATTGGAGTTCTTCACATCCACCCATCAATCAGCCACGGAGCAGCACGGGACGATTTTCAATCCGAAATCATGCCGCTCGTGACATTGTATCAATGCGATGCGATCAGCGGAGACGCCAACAAGTCCGCGAACACCTACAGCAAACTCCAACAGGTCTACAATTCGGCCAACGGTCTCATGAATATCCTCATGAAGGCATACTAGAGATTGTGGAATGGAATATGCAACGGAGACTTCCTGCACCCTGAAATCCATCGTCCGTCATCACCTCTACATGAAGACTGGATCCGGGTTTGATCGAACATCCCCAGATGTCATGATGACTTCCGTATTTGGATGGGGCAAGACAAACATCCAGCAGGATTTCCGCAAGGAAGAGATGGACGCAATGAAAGATGATCAACTGGACACCACGCGGAACGATCCTACGACTGCCATTTTCGACTATCAGGTCTTATCCGCGGAACGTTTCAAGCACGTGAACAACGAGATGTTCATGAATGGCTCTCAAGATTCCGATTCACACAGTCCGCTGATGGTCTACATCCGCAGCAGATCTGCCACCAAGCAGCGAAACTTTGAGCGATCCAAGGAGTACTTCAAGAAGAAGCAATCCAGCAAGGGTATAAGGAATACAACAAGCAGCAGTGGGGCAATCAGAAGCAGTGGAAGGACTACAGCGACTCGACCTGGCACGACTACGGAGACTACGGCAGCCAATCCGACAGCAGCTATCGGTGGAGCCGTTGACTATCTGATGAAGCTGCCACCTCTGGCATCCATTCGACCTCCTTTGGTCTGAGTGATCCGCCAAGGAAATCGGCACTACGAATTTCAACCGAATTGATCCTCACCGCCAACAAGACTATTCAGTGAGAGGTCAATAGTTTCACATCCGTCCCGCATGTACATAGCGTTGTACATCATCTTTTAGATACATCTAGGTATCTCACAGAATCAGTACAGACTGTTTCCCATTTTGCAAATCAAGACATTTCATCCGCGCAGAAAACAGGATGAATCCAGTATTTCAATTGACAAGATGTATCCATTATCTGTCACAAGTAATATACACCTACGGCATAAACCAAGGCTACGGCCAAAGGCCAAGCAGCCAAAGATATTTCATATGTAGTGCCGGCGATCAAAAGAAATTTGTGTCTGTTTTTGTGTCTGTTTTTGACCAATGTTGATCGCCCGCAACCATTTGGCTCAAGGCCCTTCTGTACCATAGCAATACTCATGACTGCGTGACAAAGGAACCTTTGCAGGCCGCCTACAGGATTATACCCCCCCCAAATAGTAGGGGCAAGGAAGGGAGGGGTTATGTCCAACACGCCGCCTTGTTGTCGGCGGATTCCTCGTACCAGCACTGACTAGCACTAGCATCATGGAGCATTCTCCGGCGGGTACGTGGGGAAGTTGGTTTTACAATGGGTTCTTGGTTCTTGGTCAGGTTGGTCATTTGGTCAGGCGAACACGCTGCTGGCGTGCTGCTACCTATGCCTCGCCGTGGCGGCGTGGGCGTTCAAGCGGCGGGTGGCCTGGCTGAGCCGCGCGGCTCTGGCGCTGCCCTTCCTGCTGGCCTCGCTGCAGTCCTTGACCCCGGACGGGGCCGAGACAAGGGCGCTGCGCATCTGGGAGGAGCCATCCGACGGGAGCCGACACGTCCAGGGCTGGCTGAACTCTCCAAGGTTTGAGCGCCTGCTTTTTCGGGACTCGGACCCAAAAACGGCTTCGGGTTTCCTTTTAGTTTGACCTAAAAAGGGATACGCTCAAGAAAAGACACCCATTTACTGGTTGGCCCCTGCAGCCGTTCGGGCGGCCAGTGCCAGGTGTGAGGGTCCGGTGCGAATGAATGGCCCGCCCAAGTGCTCTGCAAGTGATCTCCAACCGGCTGGGATCCCCACCCCAGAAAGCAGCAGATTGGATGCTGTCATGTGCACGGACCATGGGGAGTCTGCCTTGGGTCTTGTTTCTGCTAACCAACACCAACTTGGGACCTCATCAGTCATCTCGGTTCCAACTCATAGCTTCGTTTTCATTCGCGCAGGACTTGGAACCCCAAGTCCAGGCGTTGCAAGAGGGCAAGGTCGTCGAAATCACTGCAGAGCCTCAGCTGAGTCATTGAGAATTCATCGGTTTCTCAACAGACTAGTGGGTAGTGGTCCCCTAAAAAGGTTTCCCTTCAAACAGCAACCAACAGGGGGTCCGCCATGTTGAGAAACACTGAAGTAGCTCTGATGATTGAGTCCTCATGCTTGAAGGGCTAGGAGAACTGAGACAGCTCCAGCTTGCCTACTAAGGAGACGTACAATTTCATCTGATTCGAAACTCAGTTTCACCACCTGATTGCACGTGCCCATCAGAAAGAAAATCGTGCGCACTTGTTGCCGCAGCTATCACAGGGACTTGTTGCCCCAAGATCCTTGGCAGGTTTGTTTGAGTCCATGGCAGCAGCACATTGTGTCTCCCAAAGTCAATCTTGCGGTCAGAAATTCTCACCCGCGACGCCAGGTGTGCTTGTCACAATCATGGCAATTGATGGTCAGGTCTTGCGTAGTTTGCGAAGGGTAAGCGGCTTTCACGCACGGTTCGTGAACAACCGATCACGATCTTGTAGGCTGAATGCATCTTCGATATGAGTCGGTCATGGATCGTTCTCTTTGGCCATGAATGCTGTCCGCAGCCTGAGTTTGGTGTTGACCATTCTCCTGCAGATCATTGACTCTGTGCGGTCCTTCAGAAACGCTACCGCTTCGTATGTTGGATTGTTTTGGCGTGGTTTGCTGTTTTTCCAGTTCGCTGGCCCCTGTTCTGGGCTTCTCAAGTGAAGCCTGCCTTCGATCCAGCCTGTGACCGGGAGACTTGACACATCGGACTGAACCATCTGAGTCTTGAGCTCATCTTTCGGTTCGAGAGCCCGCTTTGCAGTTCCCAAATGCCTTCTTGACGGATCGTTCCCATTTGGCGGTGGCTCAAAATTAAAGAGGGGCCGTTCCCATTTTGGCTCAAAATTAAACTGGAGGGGCTGGCAAACCGCGGGTGTTGGAAACCCCATGTTTCCACTTACCAGGGCAAGCCATTTTGGAATTCCGGTTTTTTGAGCCACAGCCATTTGTTCATGTTCATCACTTTTGTCCGCTTTCATCTTGTGACCTTTCTTTCGTGTCTTGTGGCCATTTTCGAGAAATTAACCTAAGTGCGTCTCTCGGCGACGCGCCATGGGGTCGCACAACGGCCGGGGATCGAGTTAACATAAGCCCTTTATGGATGGATGGCTTACCATAAAGCATGGCTAAAATGGTCCTTTCAGCGATCTTCGGAGTTTGATTTTGCAGTCGTGCAGATGGAAGAACCGCCAGGAAAGAATGTGAACACCAATGCGATGCTTTCGCCGCAGAGGCACGGCAGAGAATTCTGCTTGGAGTGAATTGGATACCCGCCTCCTCCCCGTAAGAGTGGTCCATGGAACATGGCAATTGCTTCGGACCAACGTTGGTGTGCTATCAGGTCTTACTGGACTCGACGAGGTTCCTAGCAACGTAGGTGTGAAGTAGATGAACAATAACCCCCGCTTGCAGAGGATTTCCCTTGGGAGTAGTGTCAGCGACATAGTCCAGCTCCAACATTTGAACTTATCAGCTGAGAAACATGATGGAACCTTGCAAGGAAAATGAGCTGTTGTCTTTTCTGCCAGGGCTCGTGGACCGCACAATTTTACGCGGATGCCGTCCAACATCTTTAGCCTCCGGGTTTGAGGGAATTCTCGAGTCAACCGAACTGTCCCCTGCTTTGGCTCGAAGTTGGCGCCTGAAAGCAGGCGTCAGACGTCCGTGCGAAGTTCACATTCCATGTTTGCCTTCGATTGGCGCAGGGGACAGCTGCCATGCTGTGGCAGCTCATTGTCCTTCTCTGTATCTCGCTGAAACATTGAGATCGATTGTTTGTTGGGGATGTCCCGAGTCTGGGGGCATCTCAAAAGAAAAGGCAAAGAAAAAAAACAAAGACATCAAAGACATCAAAGACATCAAAGCCATCAAAGACATCAAAGCCATCAATCTATCCGCCGACCTGCGCGGGTTTAGACGTCAGGTGTGAGAAGTCTGCCACCGGTCCTGCGAGCCCAAGGAGCTCGGATCCATGTCGCTCGATTGGGATCTGAGGCAGTGATCTGATCCCAGCGGGTAGACCTGGCCATGGGGTTCTGGATGATGACCTGACCCTCCGACACTTGGACTTCTTGGACTTCTTAGACTTATGTCGGATCTGGGACGTGAAGGGCCCCGAATTTTTTGCCACGAGTCAGAGGTCTTTTTGGATCCTGCGGATGTCAAGGCTTTCAGTCGTAGACATAAGATGAGCTGTGCTTGAAGCTTCGTGCCATTCAACTCCACCTTACCAACGCCACAAATCAGAGCCCCATACTCGAGTGTTTAAAGCATGTACGGCGTTTGTTCAGGGATTGGCATCAAACACAAATGATTCAGGGGATCAAGCACAAATTGTCCAGAGGATGCAGGCCTGTGGTCTCCTAGTCTCTTAGTCTCCTAGTCCCCGTTTGCCGTTCTTCTGGTTAAACCCACCGCAAACCTGAAACCCGCCATAAACCAACCCTAAACCCAGCCTAACGGTTCCCACCCTAAACCCACCCACCAACCCACACCCACCCTCGACCAGGCCTATAACCAAGCAACCTACACCCGAGCTGGCGCCGCGATCGACTCCAAGACCTGTCAAGGCATGTCCGTCCTCTCGATGGCTCACCAGGCCCCATCCGGTAGAGCTCTCGGCATCCAGGTCTCGAATTCTCGAACCAGACATTTCTTTATGCCATAGCTCGGCATGTGAATCTGGGCGCAGCTCCTTGGCCTAGGCCACCCAGGCCACCACCTGGCCAGGTTTGCACTTCACCTCGCGGTCCATTCATTTTTTTTTCCGCCAATGCTACCGGGAAGACTTCAGCTGCGATCTCCGATGCCCTCCAAGTGACTTCCAGAAAATCCGCCGCCTCGATGCGGAACACGTCCATGGCATCATCGAACGTAGCTCTCTGAACCGCACCGGTCCTGTGGGACGCAGGATCCGACCCGTCCAAGCGGAGTGGGACTTGTTCGTGCGATTCGCTTAAATACTTGTTACCAAGGAGCTGTTGTGACCATAGGCGTCCTTTTTGGTTGATTTGGTTTAAAAATAGAGGGCCCGGCCCTGGTTTTTACCTGGTGGTTCAATCAACTACCAGGGCCAGTATTTTCCCAAAGAGGACACCTATGGTTGTGACCTTAGCCAGTACGCGCTCTTGACACATCTCGCATGCGCGACATTCGCGGATCAACTCCGACGTGAGCCATCTCCACGTGAGCCATGTGCTCAAAACCCGGGTAGATGAAGGTTAGCAAGGGGCACTCCCAACCAGAAATAGATGCGGACGCCTTCTGTTTCCTTTACCTGGTTCTGGGTCAATCATCTGAATAATGTTGACCCAGGATTAATAAACCCGTCCCATTATTAGGGGGGTGTTCCCCCCAAAAGTGATCTGAATCCCCATTAAAAGGAAGGGGACACCCCCCGATCAAAATCAACCAGGGCTTCTACTTGGATCCGGGGTCAAGTTTTTCCGGGTTTTGATTGTGACTGACGTGCTGGATCTTGAGCTCATTCGCATCGAGGCCGAAGGCCGAAGATTGGAAGGGGTCCATCGCCTCCATGGCGGGACCAGCCTCCCCCAGAACTCTTGGGACCAGGTCATCCGACTTCCGATTCCACCATGAGATGGCTCGCTTGGCGGTCATGACTTCGTCTTCACCCTCACCTCCAGGTTGCAGGGCAGCAACTCGGGAGGATCTCAGAGCAGCCAGCTGCTGCCTCCCCCTTCACTCCCCGACCTCGTCCCTGTCGAAGGGGGCCTTCACCGAACCCTCGGACATGGCGCAGGGGCGTTGGGCTCATAACCCTCGCTCAGCGGACCAAGCGATCGTTTCGATCATTCAAGTCAATCGGGGGCGACGTGATGCGACGTGGGTATCATCATCATCGTCGTCGTCATCGTCAGAATCAGCAACATCGTCATTGCCGTCGTCATCGTCATCGTCATCGTCATCGTCATCGTCATCGTCATCGTCATCGTCATCATCATCATCATCATCATCATCATCATCACCATCACCATGATCACTATGAACATCATGAACATCGTGAATATCATGAACATCATGATCAAAATGAACAGAATGATCATCATGATCATCATGATCATCTTCATGGTCATTATCCTCCTCCTCCTCCTCCTCCTCCTCCTCCTCCTCATGCTCCTCATGCTCCTCATCGTCGTCGTCGTCATCGTCATCGTCGTCGTCGTCGTCATCATCATCATCATCATCATCATCATCATCATCATCATCATCTTCATCTTCATCTTCATCATCATCATCCTCATGCTCGTCGTCCTCCTCCTCCTCTTCATCATCATCATCAACATCTTCATCGTCATTATCATCATCCTCATCCTTGTCCTCCTCCTCCTTCTCATCATCATCATCATCATCATCATCATCATCATCATCATCATCATCATCATCATCATCATCAGGATCATCATCAGCATAACTCTCTATAGCACTGAGACTTGCAAGGCAATCCGTGTGACAGAACTAGTAGGATCCACCCAGAGGACGCATGACGACGTGACACCTGCTTGGCCCAGCTGAGGCGTCCGTGGCAAGTGCCCACAGGAGGTGCCTTTGCGGGCAGTGCTGACGAGGCTCTTGGTGAAGGATGTCGAAGACCTGTTGCACAAGACGCCGGTGGTTACATGGATGCTTGCATTGCAAAGATTCATCCGAACATACTCAAATCATTTTGAGCTGCTGGTTTTCTGTTTACTCACAGTACGCCGCATACATTCACAAACATAATTGTAAACGCTTCGTGTTGCCCGCCTCGACCAGTCCGCCCGCTTTTTGGCTGGCTTTGACGAATACACCGTGCTTTAGTTTGCCTTGAAGTCTTAGCTGGTTTCCCAGGTGTGCATGTCTGCGTGTTTCCACATGGCTTCAAGGACCAGAAAGAGAGCTGCAGAGAGCTACAGAGCGAAGGGGGGGAATTTGACCG